GAGTACGAGTACATGTGATCCGCTAACCTGATGTCATGTACTACATCGTATGTGAGACAGGTGTGTGTGCTATGGTTGGACTGAAAATGCTGCAGAAGCTTAGGAGCAGTGATGTGAGCTACTAAGTTGATTACTACTCACACATCTCTTCTGCTGTTTGTTGTTGTAGTTCATCGGATGCTATGAAGTATATCTTCGCAGTTGGTGTATTGGCAGCAGGGCAAGCGAGTACTCTTACTGGAACTATGGCTGGTCAATACGTTATGGAGGGTTTTATGCATATCCGTATATCAATGTGGGTAAGAGTACTATTAACACGTACTATAGCTCTAGGGCCGGCCTTGGCAATTGCTTTAGTTGAGGTAATAATAATGTCATTAGTAGTAGTAGTGGTGTTGTTATTGTTGTTATTTTTGTTAGAGTGAAGTATCGGGTATGAACGGCATCAATGCGTGGTTGAATATTCTGCAGTCTATACAGCTACCCTTCGCGTTGTTACCGTTACTGCACTATGCGATGAGCAAGAAGGTTATGGGCACGTAAGTGATGTCGTTATAACAGTGTGTCTTACTCGTGTTATTTGTATGTTCACTGTGGTGTGGTATGCAGGTTTGCATTGAATAGATGGTGGAGTGCTGGACTGTGGTTGTTGGCACTTATTATCCTCGCTATTAACGTTTACCTCATCATCACTACACTGGTCCCCTTAGATTGGCCTTGGTAAGTTTGAATATCATCATCATCATCATCATCATCATCATCATTATTATTATTTTATTATCGAATTATCATGATCATTATAATATTTAATTATATTTTCATTTAGGTATGCATGGGCAATTATTGGTGTTGTATTCTACCTGTATGTTAGTCTATGTTTCTATTGTGTAGAAGATGACTTGTCCCGTGGGTGCTCCAATGTGAAGCATGATATTACATTCTTCCTCAAGCCGGTTATTCGAGGCTTTAAGATGCTCTATGGTCAATGCAAGAGAGCATTTGATAAGTGTATTGGAAGGAAGGATGATGATAATGAGGTGGAAGACTGTGAAGATACAACATCATCACCATCATCGGTAGACACGCCAAGGTGCGTAGCAGAAGATGTGCCCTCCCCATCGTCATCAGCAATAGTAGAAGAAGGCTTTAAGCATTAATTGCTGTTGTTGCTATAATAACAAGTGAATTCGCCGCTCCCGCCGTTGTTGTTGTTTGTGATGCATTTCTCTCCTCATCATTATAGTAGCATGCTGGCGTGTATTAAGCAGCCAATGACGGTATACAGTGACGAAGTATCTGTTGTATTTCCTCCTCTTTCTCTTCCTCATTATCTTCATCATCATATTCATCATCGGTGTGGTTGGAAAAGGGCGCCTCGATTCTTTTTCTTTCTAACTTTCGAGCGCTCTTAAGAGGGTCACAACGCCGTATTTCCAACTACTACCATTCATAATATATACTATTTAATAATCATTACAGCGATAATATAGTAACATCATAACAATAACAACAGTGTTCATGCCTCTATTGTTATAATTGTTGTTGCTTATATTGTTCATACTACTGATCATAATCGTCTTTGGGTTCTCCCTACCCCAAAAACTATCACTGTGTTGTTATTCGCATACAGTTGTAGTTTCTATCATACTTAGTCGTCGTGATAATAGGATTAGTAATATCTATCATAATAATCATTTAGTAGAAGAGGTCATGGATGTAGCACCTAGC